ATTCCTGCCTGGATCCAGGCAGACAGACCCGGGAGTTGAGGTTCTGCAGGACCTACAACAGACCCCTCGAAACGAGATGGTCCCCCAGGACCCCCCGCGTGGCATAATCCTGCCCCCATCGTGGACACAAACCGCAGCCCGTGGGGGTGGTGCCACGGCCAGGGAGCTGTCGTGGGCCCCCGGAAAGGCCCTGGGTCTCTGTGAGCCACGTACCAGTCAGCAGGCACCGTGCCCTGGTTCTCCAGCATCAGGATGACCGTGGAAGGCGCCGAGTTCAGTGGAGCTGCCCCGAAGTCAAAGTCCAGTAGGATGGGGGTGTGCACAGTGGGCACGGGGTGTGCGCTGTGTGGGGGGAAATGGGACTGAGCTGGGGGCAGGCTCCGCCCTCAGGGGCCAGCCTGAAGCCAGTGACCCACCTCCCACAGGAGCTAATGCTCCATGGGTGTTGGGGGGATGCCCCCCTGCCACGGCTCCTCTGTCCATGCCCAGGAGCTGCTACCCGGGACTCCCAACACCCAGCCCAGTCCCAGAGTGGGGAAAAGGGGGGTGCACAGCATGCTCAGAACCCCATCTTCTCACTCCCTTTCTGCTCCATGTGTCGGGGGGGGGGTTGAAGGCCCCCCGCCAGAGGTGCTGGCTGCAGCCCACGATGGGGCTGTGCCAATGCTCCTGGACTCAGCTCCACAGGGTCCTGGCTACAGGCTCTTGCCCCCTGCTCATGCTGCCTTGGGTGGGGGGCGCAGCCTGGCAGGGATTTGCCCCCTGGTCAGCCTGGCCTGGCTGGGGGGTTTCCCTTCCCTCTGCAGCGGGGGCATGGCCTGGGCCTGGGCTCTCCCCAGCGCCCACCAACCCCCCTGGCAGCAGCAGGTCTTTGGCGGCTGCAGCCCCCCTGTATCCCAGGGGCAGGGGCAATGCCTGGGGCTGTGTCAGGGATGACTGTGTCACACGGCTCCAAGGTCTCACATAGGGTTTTTCTGGACGGGTTTGGACATTGCTGATCCTGCCTCAGGCAGGGCTTGGCCAGGATGTGACCCATGGACGTCCCTTCCAGCCTCACAGCTCTAGGTTTTCTATGATCTAGGGTGGTTGCAGCATGGACCACTCCAGCCCCCAGGTCTGGGTCTGACCTGCTGCCCAGGGAGAGGGTGTGGAGCGGGCACTGCTGACATGGCCTCAGCACACTGGCTTTGAGGGGCTGCACCCAGGGTACATGCTCCCCAAACCTGTGACTTATGCCTCCTCTCTGCTGCCATTACCAGCCATGCCAACAGCAGGACAAGGCTGTGCCCAAGGAAACCTTGAGATGCCAAGGAATTAACCCTACCAGAAGGGCAAGGAAAGCAGTAGGTGCCAGGCAGGTGTGGGGCTGCTGGCACCAGGCAGGGAAGTGCCCATGTGGCCCCAAGCTGCCAGGGTGTACCTGGGGGCGGAAGGCCTCCCCTCACCTGTGCCTCGTGGGCACACTGTAGGTGAGCTCCACAGGGGTAGGCTCACGGGCCAGGTACTGGTTCAGTGTGTCCAGGCAGAAGAGCCTCCAGAGATGCAGCTTGCTGATGCCGCTGGCGCTCCCAGCTGCGCACACATCCGTGATGGAAATGGTGGGGTAGACGCCCGTGGCTCCAACGTGGCACAGTGGCTGCTGTGCCTGGACGGTCCTGGTGGC